CCCCCCCCCCCCCCCCCCCCCGGTTGGTTTTTTTCGAGACAGGGTTTCTCTGTAGCTCTGGAGCCTGTCCTGGCACTTGCTCTATACATCAGGCTGGCCTCTAACTCACAGAAATCTGCCTGCCCCTGCCTCCCTGAGTGCTGGGATTAAAGGCTTGTGCCACCACAGCCTGGCCCGTTTTTTTCTTTTTAACTTTATTTTTTATGTGCATTGGTATGAAGGTGTCAGATCCCCTGTAACTGGATCTTCAGACAGTTGTGAGCTGCTATGTAGGTGCTGGGAATTGAACCCTGGTCCTCTGGAAGAGCAGTCAGTGCTCTTAACCACTGAGCCATCTCTCCAGCCCCATGACTCCCTTTTGTAAGGCAGTGTGATGATAGGGAAATTTAGAACTGACTTCACTGGCACAGTGAATAAATGAGAGGTTTGTATTTTTTTTTTCTTTTTAAAATCGAAATAGAAAAATACAGAGTGCTTCGTTTTCTTGAGCTTTTCTGTATTGCACTATGGAATACAATACAGGCTTTGTTTTCCCATTTGTTTATTTTCTTACTTATTTTTGAGGTAGGGTCTTTCTGTCTATCCCTGGCTGTCCTGGAACTGACTATGTAGACCAGGTTGGCCTCAAACTAAGAGATCTGCCTGCCTTTGCTTCCTGAGTGCTGAGTTTCAATGCCTGCACCACCATGCTTGGCCCACCTAGCATTTTACAAACTGAAGATTTGTGGCACTTCTGCTGATCTAGTCTTTCCAACAATGTTTAGTTTGTGTCATGTTTTGATAATTCTATTTATAGATTTTGTTATTTCTGTTACAGTGGTCTAATGATCTTTGATAATTTTTTGAGGTTCCACAAATTGCTTATATAAGACAGCATCCTTAACTGATAAATGTTCTTACTGCTCCCGTATAGGCCATTCTCAGTCTTAGAATAATACTGAGATTAGTCAGTTTATAAAAGGCCTCTAGGTGTTCAGGTGGAAAAAGTGACAGGCAGGCCTCTTTAACTAAAAGCTATAAATGATTAACCTTAGTAAGCAGAGCATGTTAAATAAAGTAGACTGAAAACTGAGCTTCTTGGACCTGTCAGCCAAGTTCTGAATGCAAATACAAAGGAAAAGTTCTCATACAAAATTCAAAGTGTTGCTCAAGTGGATCCTGGAATAAGAGAGTTACAACAGATTCCCTGCTGCTAAGGAGAAAGTGTTAATGGCCAGAATAGAAGACAGAATGCTGCTGTAAGCCAAAGCGTAATCCAAGGCAAGACTGATGGAGGTGAAAAAAGGACAGATCCACAGATGAAGCTATCCTGGGTTGGTTCATGAGGTACATAGCAAGAAACTGCCTCCACAATGCAAAGCTGCAGGAATTAGCAGGTCCTGATGGAGGGGCTCATAATGTTACCCAGATCTAGACAAGATAGTTGAAGAATGTGAACGCACTCGATGAAATGCCATCTAGCAATAGTCAATGTCTGTATTCAAAACCTCAGAAGACGGGCTGATCATTTGGGTCTGGAACTACTAGTGACTTAAATAGGAACTCATTTTGAAAACCCTAGGGAATTTAGGACTTAAACTAAATGAACCCTGCCTCTTTGTTATAAATGAAACAAAAAACTCTGGATGACAGCTGTTCACAACATGGTGTGCTGAGTGTTTTAATCCCACCAGAGTCCTACTGCTCAGGAGAAAAAGACTCCTTCCTCAAGATGTTCAGAGACAGTGCAAATGTACAAACTTACAGTGAGAATATTTAATAATTTCATAAATTAACACTGTGGGTGAACAGTGAGAGTGATTTCTTGATAGAGTCTCTCTGGTGAAGATAGTATAAATGTTGAAAGGATACTAAAGGATTTAGGATATTATATAAATGGCTGATAAAGCAGAAGTAGATTTTTTTTTATTTTTTTATTTTTATTTTTGGTTTTTCGAGACAGGGTTTCTCTGTGGCTTTGGAGCCTGTCCTGGAACTAGCTCTGTAGACCAGGCTGGTCTCGAACTCACAGAGATCCGCCTGCCTCTGCCTCCCTAGTGCTGGGATTAAAGGCGTGTGCCACCATCGCCCGGCCAGAAGTAGATTTTGAGGAAAGTTGACTGCAATCTTGAAAAAAGTCTGTTGGTATAGTATTAAAAGCAATCACTGCATAGTACAAAGAAACATTGTGTGCATGGAATACATCAGTTGATGGGACAGTGCATTTTTTGTATCATTTTATGAAATTGCCACAGGTACCCTATTTTTAGTAACTACCATGCTGATTAAGTTGTAGCCATCAGCACCAAGGTATGGTTATTTGGCAAAGCAGTATGGCTTACCAAAGGCATTGGTGGTTTGTTAGCAATTTCAGTCTTTTTTTTTTTTTCTGTGTTGGTCAAACCTGGGGCTGTCAACATGCTATAGGCAGAAACTCTACCACTGAATGAATCCCCAAAACCCTGTCTAGTGAATGTTTTTGTAGTGTGGTGCTGGGACTCAACCAGTGCTTGCACATTCTGGACAAGACGTCCACTGCTGAGTCATATGCCATCATAATTAAGTGTCCCTAAGTTGAGGTATGTGCATTGTTCTCTTTAAGACAGTATATTCACATATCTAATAGACTATAGCATAATGCACATGTAACTTTGATATGTACCAGCTATTTGTTTAAATTGCCTATAATGGTTAAGGTGAGGACTGTAACAGTGGCCAAATATGAATAGGTCATAGAAAGGCCTTTTAAGGAGTTAGCATTAAATTTCAAAGACACAGGCCTTATACCAAGTTACTTATTTGTTAGTGAGAGAAGGAATTTAGAACACTTTTGGAAGTTTAAGTGATAGCTGAATGAAATAAATGGTAAGTAGAATGGAGCAGAATGGGGTGTTTGCTTTAGTGATCGTATACTAGATATGGACATAGACATGTCGGATTGGGGTCTAAAGAATTCATGGGAATTGCAGTGAAGATACCTGTGATAATAGCACAAAAGAAGGAAAAGATACAACCACTGGTATAAAGGTAAGATGTTAGAGGAGATGAAGAGAAAATGTTTACTGGGGTAGATGCAGAAACCAGAACTGGGATGGGGTATAATGGAGAGGAGGGGAGGTGCCGCTTCAAAATGGTGACTAGAAGAAACATCAGGAAACACCACAAGTTGTCTGTAAGCAGTTAACAATAGTGCCTAGTACAAAGGATCCAGTGAGATGTTTGGTAATTAGCCTATTCAGGAGCTTTCAGTTTCATTTAGGTAAGTGCTGAGGACAGAAATGAGATGGAGTAGATTGGTAGTGTTTAATGGTAATATATTTTTGAAATCTCAAGAAATGACAGAAGTAATGTAACAGTGCATCAGGGATTTGCATATATAAAGGGAAACTTAATGTGAAATAACAGTAAAAATCTTACCATTTTTTCTTAGCGAAACTATGAAAAATTGGTAGTTAAAGGGTTTGAAAGGATTGATTTAAGAAAAGATGTGTTCACTTTGGCTCAAGGAAATTCTCTCTAGCTCTTTTTCCCCTTCTATCCCCATTTAGTTTAAATCAAGAGTTTAGATCAACATAAACGGCTAAAAGTTTATGTTAGCTATTCAGGGCTTGTAGTAGAAGTTAATAGGATTAACAACAGATTTGAGATGCCAACTTCAAATACAGAAAATGATTTCATGTTTGTACCCCTATCCCATCCTGCCTGCTAGGGCTTATCAGCTTAGTAATCTTTGTTTAGGATTTGTGAAGCAGGTGTGGCAAGGCAAGGACAGTGGTCTTGAAAAGGGGACATGAATAGTGGATCCATGATGCCTGTGGAATTACTTTGGGAATGAGAAAAGATAGTACATTTGAAAGTCAGGATAATAATGTTTCAGCCAGATGAGTAAAGTTATAAATAAAATCTAGTTAGAATGTGAATTTTAAAGATATTCATGCATATATTTTAAATAACTGAATTAGTCCTTTATGTGGTCAAAATATTTTCTAGAGTAATGGCTTTTACTTGGATGATTTTGTACTAATAGTCATAAACATGTATCCATGGTAGGTCTTTGTTTAGTATTAGACTTAATCTTTTTTTACTGTCTAACTATTCAAGAATATGTCACTTACTGTCTATTGGTATCTTCTCAAATGATCCATCGTACCTGTAATTCTTACTTGCTTTCGACTTATTTCCAAATGCAGAAAGGGTAAGTGAATAAGTTCTTTTTGCCCCGAAGAGCTGATCTATCTATTGAATCTAACTTTGACTTATTATAAGTCATCAGTAGGAGAGTTTAACCTTTGGGACCTGCATAGCTTTACTCTTACCTGGTTCCTATATGTGATTGCAGAATCGTATTTAGAATAGGGCAGCATGATCTCTTTCTTTTTTTTTCTGTTTTTTTGGTTGGTTTTTTTTTTTTTTTTTTTTTTTTTTAGACAGGGGGTTTTTATGTGTGATAGCACTGGCTGTCCTGGAGCTCTTTGTAACTTTGTAGATCAGGCTGGCCTCATACATAGAGATCTGACTCGATCGTAACCCTAGCTCTTAATGCAGAGTTTTTGTTTTTATTCAGAGAACAATCAAAGGGTAACTTTAGGTCAGTTTTAATCTAGTCTGAGTGCACATTATGCATTAATCTTGGAGATGGATATTCTTATCATCCCTAGGCATCATTGATTAAAAGGTAGATTGAGCTGGGCCTGCAGGCAGATGCCTGAAATCAAAAGTACTTGGGAGGCTGAAGCAGGAGGATTAGAGCTTTTAAGGCTGGTCTGGACTGTATTTCTTTGCCACTCCCTTCAAATAGAAGTAAAAGTAATGCTGTTTCTTACTTGGGAACATAAGTAAATAAATTTTTAAAAAAAAATTATTTGAATTGGGTTCTACATGTTTAGATACATTCTTGCTCTTTGGTTGGCACAGTTAAGACTGAAGTTGGGGCTTTTGAATGTCCTTACATCCTTCAATTGAATGTGTTAGTTTTGTTCCTCCCTTTGCAATTATAACTGTCACCTGTTTCCTCATGTTTTTATTTCTACCTAATATGTGGTTCTTATCCTTATATAAGTCATTAATAACTGATTCTCACTGGGACTCATTAACTTTTCAGCCTTGTAGTTTGGAAAGCTTTCTATGAGAAAATAAAAGTAACTTTTATAGGAGAGCCTCAGATGTCCATCTCAGTTGGAAGATGAAGCATATGTATATATTTGCAAAGTTAATGAATTAAAGTAGAAATGATATTTGTTACGGCATAATTGCATTATACTTTGGTTCTCATATTAAAAATGTTAGCCTTATTTTTTCAAATGGGAAATATTAAAAAGGTTATTGAAAAAAAATGAGATATACTCTTAAACTGATTGTTCAAAAGTAATAAAATTATACAGAAATTATTCTGATATTTATGTTAGTATTGTAGATTGGCACGGCTTTGCTAAATAAGTTAATTAAATTTTTGTGATTCAGGCCGAAAAACCAGTGGAAACTGAAGAAGCAGGAATGGTGGCTGCAGCAACAGCTTCTGCTAACTTGAAAGCAAGTCCTAAGAGAGGACGACCTGCAGGTAGATTTTGGCTTGTTGTTAATATTCCAATCCATTAAAACATTGCTGGATCAAATGTTTTGGAATAATATAAACAGAGGTTGATGAAAGACAGTCATGTATCACTTTACCCATGGATATAGATGAGGCCTGAGAAATTCATCATTAGAAAGGACTGCGTATGTACACAGGCCGTGCAGTCTCATAGCAGCACCACTGTGTGTGCTTGTGCTACGTGTCCTCGAAAATGTCATGCGTATGTGAGACTCTTTAAAAGAACAGTATCAAAGGAGATAGAAATGGTTAATTTTGGAGACAGCTATTAAGTTTGAAATAATTGTGACTTGGCTTCTTCTACCAGATGAATCTGGTGAGCTTAAGATAACTACTTTGAATAGTGGACTTACCTTATTTTTTCACTTTAAAATTACTATATTCTGGTAGTTCATGAACAATTTGGAAATAATACAGAATAGTAGAACACTAAAAATGAAACAAAACAGGGCCTTTTTTTTTTTTTTTCCTACATCGTTATAGGATCATTACTGAAAACTGTTCAGGGGAAAAAGCCATATTGGGAAAGAAAGACATTAAAATCTATTTATATATTTTGTAGTATTACAATGGATCAGACTAGTGGTAATAAAGTATGGACAATACTCATACAAAGTTCCAAAGATGTATGCAAAGTATACATAAACTATTGTGATAGAAATAAGAATTCTGGTTGAGTGATATTTCTCTGTTTTGTGACACTTGGTAAAACAGCAATGAAAAATGCTCTTTAAAAAAAAAAAAAAACATGTATAGCCGGGCGATGGTGGCGCACGCCTTTAATCCCAGCACTCGGGGAGGCAGAGGCAGGTGGATCTCTGTGAGTTCGAGACCAGCCTGGTCTACAGAGCTAGTTCCAGGACAGGCTCCAAAGCCACAGAGAAACCCTGTCTCGAAAAAACAACAACAACAAAAAAAGCCACATGTATATATCTTTAAATTTATCCTCTTCGCATATATTATATATTGACTGCAGTTTCCCCTTCCTCCACTCCTTCCAGTTTTGATTTGTGAAATATAATGAGGACAAATGGAAATTTACTGTTAATAAAATTTTCACTTTCTTGATGCATGGCATGACTAGTTAAGCCCTTAAAGAATACTTTTATATATCATGCAATATATGTATTCAACATAAGCTTTGTATTTAAAAGGGAAATTGTACCTTTTTTCTATATGAAAATTAGCTACTGAAGTCAAGATTCCAAAACCAAGAGGCAGACCTAAAGTGGTAAAACAGCCCTGTCCTTCGGAGAGTGACATGTGAGTTTTTTAATATAAAATTCATTATATTATATTTTTATTTATATTTCAATATAAAATTCATTTCTACTTCGTAAATTAGTAGAAAATACATTTGTGTTTTTAACAGTTTTATTGTCTTATGTTTCTATTGCTATTCTGTTTCTGATAATTGTAGAGACTGAAGAATTTGTATGAACAGGAAAGATTTCTTAATTGAAAATCTGGTTGTTTGAGTAAAGCTTTTTCTTTGGTGTATGATACCATAAACTTTGGTAATGTAGACTAAAAGGGGAAATTGGGCAGGGAAGATTGCTGAAGAAATGTTTGGGTAGATTATAGCTAACGTAGTGTGTCCATAGAGGAGCTTCTGTTTGGTTCTGTGTAATAAGTTCTTTAAAATAGTGTAAAAATCTTAGAATAGGAAATATTTAGTTACCAAAGAAAGAAGTGGGTTTTTTTTTTGTCTGTCATCTTTTCTCATAAATCCTCTTCACTTTGGTTTTTTTGGAGAAAAAAAAAGAAGGAATATAATATTTAGGAAATGATGACTGTATCTAAATGTTTTGTAGAGAAAACTCAATTAAGGATGGATTAACTAAGCAGGACCGTTGTGGCGCATGATTTTAATCCCAGCACTTGGCAGGCAGAGACAGGTGGATCTCTGGGAGTTTAAGGCTAGCCAGGGCTACACAGAGAGACTGTTTTCAGAAAAAAAAAATTATTGATTGTATATTTGGTTGTCTATTTGTCATTTGGAGCCAGCATGGGTCACATAGAAAAACTTTTGTCTCTTTAAAAAATGAAACATAGAAATATTAGCAGTTAATGTACTTGAAATTGCAAAGAAAATTGATTTTAAAGGTTCTTAAATGCTTGTGTTAAATAGTTTGATTGAGCAACTCATGTTGAAATGGCTTACACATCTATATATGTGTGTGTGTGTATGTATTTAATATATATAATTTTTTAGTTTCCAGTTAAAACATAGTGGCAATTTGTTTACAGTCACTATTCCACAAGAAGTCTGTGTGATTTTCATGTTTTCTATGATTATTTGCTTAATAAAAGTAGCTGGCCAGATATTTACCATTATATGCTTTTTAGTCCTTTCAAATGACTATTTCTAGAACAACTTTATTTTTTATGTACATTGGTGTTTTGTCTGCGTGTATTTCTATGTGAGGCTATCAGATTCCCTGGAGCTGGAGTTACAGTTGTGAGCTGCCATGTGGGTGCTGGAAATTGAACTTGGGCCCTCTAGGAGAATAAAATTTATTAAAACAAATGAATTATGTTAAAAGCAACTTGGAAAACTGAGGAAGATCATTTTTATTGATGTGGTGCCACCATAATTTTGTATCTTGTAATATTTGTAGAAATTCATTTTATGATAGGATAGCATATATTGTCTTTTATGTTTTAGATTTTATTTTACATACACATTTGCAATGATTTTTCCCTTGAAATACTTGTTTGGTAAATGAGTATAAATGAAGGCTGAAGAGATCACTCAGCAGTTAAGAGTGCATACCTCCAGATATACATATACATGAATAAATACAAATAAATCTTTCAAAAAAGAAAAATATAAATGAATACGTAAAAGTTCATCTTCTATTTTTGTGTTCTAACATAGGGTTATTGATGAAGACAAAAGTAAAAAAAAGGGACCAGAGGAAAAACAACCTAAAAAGCAGCTTAAAAAGGAAGAAGAAGGTCAAAAGGAAGAGGATAAGCCAAGAAAAGAACCAGATAAGAAAGAGGGCAAGAAAGAAGTTGAATCTAAACGGAAAAATGTAGCAAAACCAGGGGTTACATCAACCTCTGATTCAGAAGACGAAGATGATCAAGAAGGTGAAAAGGTAGAAAATCACATTCAGACCTCCCTACCATTTATGTGGTATAGTTATGTGTATACAAATGACCACACTGGCAACATCAGATGACCTCCTCTTTTGCACTTTTTGTGTGTATTTTGTATGGTTTGCATGTACGCTTGGGTAATCTTTCTCAGTTGCTCTTGACCTGACTCATTAAGAAGTGTTTCTCAAGCAAACCCAAAGCTCCCCATGTGCCTAATCTTGGTGTAGCCAGTTTGCTCTGGAGATCACTTGTATTTGCCTAGAGACTGTAATTACAGATGAGCCACTGCAGTTATCTGGAATTTTTAGTTTTGGGAATACAGACTCTGGTCTTCTTGCTTGCATACCAGGAACCTTAACTGATGAACAATCTCCCTAGCGTCTTTTACCTCAGGCTAATTTTTTTGAATGGCTGTTATGTGAGTTGGAGGTATGTGGGAGCATGGGCATGTTGAGACAGGGGTTTCTCTGTGTAGCCCTGGCTGTCTTCAAACTCAGATTTTTTTTTTTTTTTTTTTTTTTTTGTATTTTTCAAGAGAGGGTTTCTCTGTAGCTTTTTTTTGGTTCCTGTCCCGGAACTAGCTCTTGTAGACCAGGCTGGCCTCAAACTCACAGAGATCCACCTGCCTCTGCCTCCCTCCCGGCTCAAACTCACAGATCTTTCTTGCGTTTTAATACACATAATTCTTATGCTGCGAGTTATAAGTTTACATGGGTCTCTATGTTTTCTAATAGAATTCTATTAGTTAATATAAAAAGCTTATTTGAAACTTTGAATTTATCTTGCCCTTATAATTTTTAGAAATTAGACTTCTATTAAACCAGCTGTGTAAACAGAGGTTATAAATAGATGACCCTGATCAACAAAGACACAAGAGGTGTATTTATACAAGAAATTTTAAGCTTTTCCTAGCTTACATTCTTTTAATAAAATGTAATTTTATTTGGATGCTATATCTTTTTTGTGGAAAAAAAATAGAAATTTTGTTTAATAGCCCTGAAGTGTTTATATGGGCTTTAATATCTCATTTGTTTGAATATTTTAGTTTCTAATTTTTGGGGGGAAGAAGTGGTTTTAAGATAGGGTCTGAACCTGGGTCTTCAACCTTGGCCGATTTATAACTTGCTTTGTAGACCAGGTTGGCCTTGAACTCACAGGGATCCACCTGCCTCTGTCTCCCAAGTGAGATTAAAGGTTCGTGCTCGCGTACCCTGCTCAAATTCAACAATGTTAATTCAGTAGCTTCAGAGTGTTGAAGTTAAAATGATTGGAGGCAGACAGGTCAGCATCCTCTCAGTCACAAAGCTCACTGCTATAGGGTGGTAGTAGGCTCACTTCCACAGATAGAGAAGAGCCAGCACATGCTAGGTGGTTGCTTGCTATCTACCAAGATTGTAATCAGTCAGTGGGAGTAAACTAAATCCATCCTAATTCTCAAACAGAAGAGAAAGGGTGGAAGAAACTTCCAGACCGCTCACAGGAGGAATATGCTGAAAGGCCAACATGAGAAGGAAACCACAGAGCGGAAGCGCAAGCAGGAGGAACAAATGGAAACTGAGCAGTAAGTAGTCTTTTTAGTTCTATAAACCTTAAGCTTTTTTTTTTTTTAAGAGTAGTATGAAAGATTTTAAGTACACTCTCATTTTCCAGACTTCATGAAACCTTTTGAAGCAACTTTCCATATTAGAAAATGTTCCGTATGTGCTGTTTCAGGCTGTTCCTTTGTTGGAGGATGAAATGCACTGAGGTGGTCCTCCTTGAGCTGTCTGTTAACTTCAATGAAAGTGCAGTGAGGAACTGTTAGCACTTTACAGAGTACTCTATAACATGTGAAACAGAATGATGGAAATATTGGTGGAGAAAGAATGCAGTAAATATTTGTATTTGTCGTACCACCAGCAGGCCGGTATAAAAATTAGTAAAGATAACAAAAGCACAGTTGGAAAGCAGGAAGCTGATTAAAGTAAACCCAAAGGCTGGCAGGACTTGCATTTGATGTGTTTGAATTACACTTTGACACATGGAAACAATAGACGTTTTCCATGAGGAATTTCTTCCTCCTTTATTGTATACCATTATTTTATCAGAACAAGGAATAATGATTGCTATGGTAATTAGACTTCATGTCTTTATTATATAGTTGTTTCCTAGTTTATCATTAGACTCTTTTAGACCGACACTTTATAGTGTCGAAAACTGGGCTTTTTTCGCTAGTGAGTTGATTTGAAAACATATTGTAGGTAAGACAGTGTGGCAACTACTAAAAACCATTTTCTTTTGCCTTTATGATGCATCCGCAAGCTGAACATCTTTATAGATATATTGTCTCTGATTCTGTAGCTATTTGGAGGATACAGAGCAGTTTAGCTGCTTGAGTTTAAAAGTGATTAAAATGCCAGACCGTGGGCACATCTGTAAATGCCGTTACTCCTGTCCTTTCTCTCCCCTGAATAACTGTGACTGTTGTTGCTTTTAACTCCCAGACTTAAGGCATAAATTAGTTGTTGCTTAGTAAATCTAGCCCAATCCTTCTTCAGAATCTCAAGATATCTTTTTGTATTTCAGTTTCTTTTGAATGTCCTCCAATGTAACTTTCTCAAATTCTAATATTTGTGTTTTCTTTCCTTCTCCTGTTATTACAAAACTTTGTACTTGGACAGTTTTGCTCTGTAAAGCATTTCAGATGCAACTTGTGTGAAATGCATTATGCAAAATAAAGTTTATTGTATTGTATTCCCAGCCAAACAACATGTAATCTACAGTAATAAAAAAATATATCTCATTTTGGGCTCAAAGCATTAATCCAGTAACTGAAAAGAGAATACAAGTGGAGCATACAAGCGATGAAGATCTTGAGACAGACTCATTGGACTGAATTTCCCCTCCCCCCCTTGATGGAAGAAATGTTCCAGATTCTAAATTGAGGACTTCATTATTAATGGCATTATTAACTGTGTCATGATTGTTAACAAAATATCCTGTAAGGTGCACACTACATATTAAGGTTGGCCATCATTCCTGTTTTTTTTTTTTAAACCAAGCTTAAAATGAAGCTTTGTGTTTGAAAGTTATAACAAACATAGATGAAGAAGATGGTGGTTGTACATTATTTCATTTAGAAAATATGAAAACTCATCTTGTTTTGAAGCTAGGTGTTAAACTGGAATAGCTATTACGTTCTTGAAAAATGGGGCAGTTGTGCCCTTTCCTTGACATTCTTTTGTTGTTAAATTCTTTAGTCTTGTTTTTTCTTTTTAATCCTGAGAGATTAAACATTAGACTTGTTAAGTAAAAAAAAAAAAATGAAACTGTAACCAAAATTTTAAAATAAAGTTTTTTTTAAAAAAAAAACGTGATTTTTAGGTATTTTTTGTTCTTGTCTATTTTAATTGGTTCATAATAGGGCCTGAACACCAAGCCAAGGTACTAGAGATTAAAATTTCTAATTTAAAAGGTTATTTTTGTTAATATTAGTAACATGGTTAGTTTTCATTTATGAGATGGTTTGTGAATAACAGTGGATGTCATTTAGCTTGATAACAATGGCACCCTTTCCAGTTTTAAAAGACAGTCCATATAATCAGTTTAAAGTAGATCTAATCACTATTGAAGTTAATCTCAATGTCCTTTGATTTACCTGCCCTTTGGAAATGTGGGGAACAACTAAATTGGTCTACTTTATAATATGCTTTAAAAAAAATAATTATAGGAAAAGAAGTTGATTAAAAATCCATTAAGCATTTATAGGTGTTCTCTTCCCATTGTGGCTTGTTTGGCCAGTGATCATGAAATTGGATTTTTAGTGTCACATTTCAGTGTGACTGCTTCAAAGTCACACTGTGATTATCTCTGAAAAACTAAATTAGCTTGTTTGAGTTTTGTCTGTATTTATGCTAATGATGTAGAACTGCATAGTTTTAGAAACTAGTCAGTGACCTGTGTTGTAGGCTGATTTACTATTTTTAAGGACCATTTTTTTAAACCTTTACATAGGGGAATATGGGCGTCTGCTAACCTAAGTCACAAAGTTCCAGTGTTTTGAAATATTTGTGTTAACATTTGATAGGCAGAATAAAGATGAAGGAAAGAAGCCAGAAGTTAAGAAAGTGGAGAAGAAGCGAGGTTAGTTATTTTACTTTCTAAGATACAAAATCACACATAGAAAGTTTATGTAAGCTGGGTATGATGGCACATTCCTGTAATCACTTAAGGAAGCATAGCCAGGATAACCACAGTTCCAGGGCAACCAGGGATACAAACTGAGACCCTGACTTAAAAAACCAAAGTAAACAGATTAAAAAACTTTTAAGAGTATTTTTTGCATTTCCATCCCATGTTTTATATTCTACAAATAATCTTTTTAAGTCTGATGGACTCTATGTTAAATTGCATTTTAAGCAATTAAAGTGAACTTGCTAATGTCTCTGTATTTTAATGCTTATTTGGGGACAGTTTTGCAACCCTGCTAAAGCACTGGAGGTGTACCCATTTTGATAAATACCTTGCAGTTAAATGAGTGAGGTAAAAGAAGTTAAGAGCTGACATGTAGGTCATCATATGAGACAAGAGTTTAGAAACAAATGCAGCTCAGTGGTATTTTGTGCTTTATGCTGCATGTTCCTTCTCCAGACCATATATTAAATTTAGTAGGCAACTTCTTAGACTGTTCATCTATAATGGGCTTCTTAAAGACTACTAAGAAAACTTTGTAACCACCATTTCTTTTATTTGTTAGACTGTACAGAGATATGGTGTGGGGGAAAAACTATTTACTGTTTTTCACATATTTCAATTTATAGAAACATCAATGGATTCTCGACTTCAAAGGATACATGCTGAAATTAAAAATTCACTCAAAATTGATAATCTAGTAAGTGTTTAACCTCATTTAAAATGCACTGCTTTAATAGCTTTAAATATTTTCTCACATGACTTAAGTGTGTAAGTTTTTAAAGATTAAGGGAACAATACCTGGCCATTTCGTGCCTATCATCTTGAGCTTTAAAAAAAATCTTCAGAAGTAGATTATGTAGATGCTTTGGTAATTAACAGTTATGAAATTGCTGTTTTGTCATGAAGGATGTGAACAGATGCATTGAGGCACTGGATGAACTTGCTTCACTTCAGGTAACAATGCAACAAGCTCAGAAACACACAGAGATGATCACAACATTGAAAAAAGTAAGTGGTTTGACGACCTGTAAATCTTTTCTCAGTTCTTCATTTTTAAAGAAAATATAAGTAAATCAATTAGGAAAGATAATCATGACTATTGTTTTCTCAGATACGGCGGTTCAAAGTTAGTCAAGTTATCATGGAAAAGTCTACAATGTTATATAACAAGTTTAAGAATATGTTTTTGGTTGGTGAAGGAGATTCAGTCATCACCCAAGTGCTGAACAAATCTCTTGCTGAACAAAGACAGCATGAGGAAGCAAATAAAACCAAAGATCAAGGGAAGAAAGGGCCAAACAAAAAGCTAGAAAAGGAACAAACAGGTATGTAATAACTTAATGCTGGGTTTCCCTCTCTGTTACTTGCCAGCACTGCTTTTGTAAATGGTTTTGTTACATGTGTTAGAAAAGGTGGCTATTGAAACCTGTATCAGCAATGAGGTCGCACTGTATATTCATTGACCTTGAAACAGCTGAAATGTTCAACACACAGTACTTGTATACAACATAACTGGTAAAATTGTTATGTTGGGTATTTTGAAGGACTAGAGCAGTAATACTTGTAACAAAACCATTGTTAATGACAGTTTAGTTTCGGGGAAAGGATGTCTTCTAGAGAAGCAACCCATTTTCTCCATTTGCTTTTGCCAAAAAATACAGTATACAATAGGCACAGAACCAGAGTTGCTGCATCCTAGTTGGAGCCAAAGATGCTGCTTGTTTCTTTCTGATCATGCCAACAGGTTTTCAGTGTTAGTTACCCTAAGCATGTTGTACACTGTGTTAAGTACTATATCTTTACATTGTTAAGTGGCTATGTGTGGATATAAATGGTATTTTACTGTGTTAAAAGAAAATAGTAAGGGGCTGGAGAGATGGCTCAGCGGTTAAGAGCATTGCCTGCTCTTCCAGAGGTCCTGAGTTCAATTCCCAGCAACCACATGGTGGCCCACAACCATCTGTAATGGGGTCTGGTGCCCTCTTCTGGCCTACAGGCATACACGTAGAAAGAATGTTGTGTACATAATAAATAAATAAATATTAAAAAAAAAAAAAGAAAATAGTAACCAGTATCATCTAAATGGAGTTAGGAATAGGTGCTGAGAGTCGATCACAGACTGTCCAAATAGATGGCTGACACACCTTGTTTTGATGTGCCAATGCATAAAATTGTCTTGAGGCAATGTGTTTAAGATGCATATGAAATTGAGTCTTATAGTCAAGATATCTAAAACACCGCTGGCTCCAAATTATTAGGTAAACGAGTGCTAAATGTGGTCCTGTGTAGCCTTTTGCCCACCCAAGTATATTTAAAAATAAATTTCATACATACTGGATCATAAATACATACATACTACAATACATTGTAGTTCAGAATTTACCTACAGAGGATTTTAAGACTAGAACACCACTATCTGCCCTCCAATTCCATGACAAAACACCATAACTGGCATATGCTTGTATGCCAATTGGTAAAAAAAACCAATCTTTTAAGATAGAACAATAACCAAAAAACTTTTATACTCATTAGATTCCCTTAGATATTTATTAGTAAGTTTTCACAAGAATGCCCAGTCATATCAGTTTGAGTATTTTATGTTCTAAAATACTATAAATACTAAATTTAATTATTCCCCCCAAAAAAGCTACATGCATGCTAGTGACTAAAAAGTTCTGCCAGTTACAGTATTCCAGATGTAATGTGATGAGATTAGTAATTCATCTGTCCACTTTAAAAAAAAATGTTTCTTGTTGTGCCTTACCTACTCTAGACTTTGAATGATACAAGTTATTAGTATATCTTTTCATTCATCTTCTTTGAAATGACATCAGACCTAATCCTAAAATTCATCAAAAGGTTGAAGTGTTAGGAACATAGGGTCATACTTTGACCTTGAACATCTGGATAATTGAATGTATTATTTTGTATGTGCTAACAGTTTTTGTATTCTAAAGGTTCAAAGACCCTAAATGGAGGATCTGACGCTCAAGACAGTAGTCATCCACAACATAATGGTGACAGTAACGAAGAAAGCAAAGACAGCCATGAGGCTGGCAGTAAGAAAAAGTAAGGGCAGTAAGAAAAGTAATGGGCCTTTTGAAATTAAGGCTGGAGAGATGAGACTCCAATGTTAAGAGCACCGGCTGCTCTTCAGAGGACTTGGTTTGATTCCTAGCACCCATATATAAAGCAGCTCAGAACTGTCTTAACTCCAGTTCCAGATGATCTCTACCCTTCCTGGCCTTGTTGGCACCAGACACTCACATGGTACACAGACATATGTTCAGGAAGAAAGCCCATACATAAAATAATAGAAAAAATTTCTTGAAGGGTCTTAAGTGCGCTTTTTTTTTGCTGAGTCTGGCTTCAAACTCCTGAGGTCTCAGAGATTCTCCTGCCTTGGCTTTCCCAGTTGTTGGAACTACAGAGTTGTACCATTGTGCTTGGCTTATACAGTTGTTTTGTTTTTGGGACAGGGCTTCTCTTTGTAGCTTTTGCTATCCTGGAACTTGTTCTGTAAACCAGGCTGGCCTCGAGCTCAGATGCCTGCCTCTGCCTCCCAAGTGCTGGGATTAAAGGTGTATGCAAACCCCCCCCCCCAAGTTCATGATTTTAGCGCAGTAATTCTTCCTAAGGCTAAATATGCTGGGGAAATACTATATCACTGAGCTCAATGATTAAAAAGAAAAAAAAATGATTTTTGTTTAACACTTCCTTTCCCTACACATCCCTTTTAGACAAGGTCTCACTGTGTACGTTGTATTGCCTGGCTGTCATGGAAGTTGCTGTGTAGACTAGGCTAGTCTTGAACACATAGAGAAGTCTGCCTCTAGAGTGCTTTGATGGTCCACTATATCAGTCTTACTAAGTTGTGAATCAAAACAGCAGGAGGGACTGAAGAAGTGGCTTAGTGGTTAAGAGAACTGGCTGTTCTTATAAAGGTCCCAAATTCAATTCCTGAAAGCAACCACATGGCTACTCACAACCATCTATAATGAAACCTGATGCCAGCTTCTGGTGTGCAGAGGAATATGCAGAAAGAGCACTACTCATTTATTTAAGGGAAAAGACAAGAGGAAGAAGGGTAGATGTTAAGGCAGGCTGAGTTCAGTCCCTAGCACCAGCAAATAGAAGGCTACATAGCGACTCATCCCAACACCTCCAAAAGGTTTATTGAGACAGATCTCCCTACACTGTCCAGGTCAGCCTTGAACTTGTAGCCGTTACCCAGACACAGTCTGTTTGGGATGACCGGTTAGATAATTACTGCCCCTATATTTACTCAGGAAAATAGATCTCAGTAGGAACTCTGAAAGAAAACAATTTTTCTTTGAACCTTGATATGTTAAGTAGGTACTTTGTAAAGTACCTATGGACCTGTATTCGTCTAGTTTTTATTTTATGTTGTCATCACAGATAGAAATTCTGTTTAAATAAAATTCATCTTAAATGTAGTGCCAGATCTAGGATGCCTCCTTGGGCTATCTCACCAGATCTGTGTATTACTTCAGCAACATATATGTCAAGTGTTTGTGATTTTTTAAAAATGAGAATTAAAGCTCTTTTTACTCAAGAGAAAACCCCAATACTTGTGACAGCTTTCTTTTTTCCCTTTATTTTAGATCACCCGGAGAAGAGAGAGAGGCTGAACTATCTCTGAAGGAGTCACCACTAGATAACTAGATTGGCAGACATGGGGTGTAATGAGTATGTGAAGTCTGTTGTGAGTGGCTTCATCTGAAATACTTAGGCTGCTGACTGAAAGGATTAAATTTTTTATAAGTATAGGTTTTGATGTTTAAGTAGTTTGGGGAAAGAAAAATCCCTTTATGTTTGTGTAAAAGTAAAACTTATTGCTAATTTTCCGTGTGCAGTATTAACAGCTCCATCATCCAGTTCAAGTGTGAGGGAAACCTACTTAGAAAGGTTGACCTGCTTTATAGACGTGACTAGTGTATTTCAGTTAGTGTGTGTGTGTGTGTGTGTGCACATGTAATTGGTAGTAGGCCAGTTACATTTTAAAACTGCTACTTGTATAAATCGTTCTTCTCCCAAATAACGTGGGTTTGTGCATAGTTTTTACAAATCTTGGATTTACCAGACTGTCTTTTCACTGTTTGTGGGTTTTTTAGAAGTTGAGCATTTTTATGGTTGATAAAATGAATGTTACTTCTAAGTACTCACTCCTTTTTATCAGAAGTTAATGTAACCTCAGTCTATTGTGCTGCATTAGCTTGCTTCTTCCTAATAATGTGTAGTCTGTGTGACACCCCCATGTCCAACTAGAAGGTACAAATTTGATGACTTTTGAAAGTAATTTAGTTTCAGGGCTGTGAATTCAGTGGAGTCAGAATTAAAGAGAACAGATTGGGTATATAGAGGAACTTCATATACAATCCTTTATAGTTACTAATCACAAAAACCTAAAACTAGTTTGTTTTTAATCTCACACATTAAGAAGGTCATGCTCATTGAGGTATGTGTGTGTTTTTAAATTGTAATCAGTCCATGATGCTTATTAAGTGGTAAATAAATAAGAAAACTAATGGGATTTGTATTTAGTTTCTGTATCATCAGGCATCACAAGATTACAAAAATAAAAGGTAGAAAACAACAGTTGCTCCAAGACAGTAAGTAGATAATCCATACACACAAAGAGACCATCAGAGTCTGTTAAGGTCTTCTGAGTAATCACGTCATCATTGGTTTCCAATAGGAAGAAAGGTTCATCACTATGCTTTGAAATTTTAATGGGAAAGTGACTTAATAGCAGTGTTTTGTGTGTTATGTTTATATGACCTTGACGTCTCATAATTATTTTCACTTATGTAAAGGGCTTTGAATTATTCAGTAATTGAACTTTTGCTCTTATTGAACTACTGTTTGGGGCAAATGCTGTACATTATCTACACCACTCTTCTGTTTTGTCCTTAGTACATTTTTAGCTTGAATGGAAATTATTCTAGTTAAGACATAAGTGTCAAATGTGTAAACTTGTTTTAATTAAAATTTTTTCTACCAAACTCTATTAGTAAATTATTATTACTGCTAATTGAGAACTACTGAAAGAATTCTAGATCACCCGCTAAGGAAGTAGTGTCCTCCTTAGCCCCCACTGAGGTCCTGTTAGGGGATAGAGGAGGTATGCAGTAGTAAGCTCAGGGAAGCACTGTTACTTGCCTCTGTGGACTTCCCGTTCCTCACTAACCACAGGTGTCAGCTACAGTGTCCCACTCAGAGTGCTAGTAGCGTTCTTCTAGTCATGTACCTTCTTAGGTAGGTGTCTGCTTGAAACCATGTGTGCTTTGGAACTGTCTGTCACAGACAGGCAAGCTATCACTCTCAAAACTCTAAACAAAATTGCATTAAACCTACCACTTCTCCCAGTGTGCATAGTATGCATGTGTTATATGCATGTATGGATACCTATTTTGATGTTGTTTTTCCCAGTTGTTTGGATCAATTTTACATATTCCACCTTAATGAAAGATTCTGATTGCAAGTCCGTATGTACAAACAATTCACCAGAGCTCATTAGACCATATATGCTATTCTAGCTAGAAATTCTATAGCATGATGGATTTTTACCCAGTGATGTGGCACACTAAAAATGTTCCCGTTTATATCCACTGACCTGATTAAAAAGTGCCAGGTGGGGATGCAGTCTGCCATTTACTCCTCCTGTATGCAGAGCAAAGGCTTCGGCTAACGAACTTTATTCCATTGGTCAGAGAATAGACTACTATCTACTGCAAATAGAAAAATGTGCTTAAATTTGTGTTGTGTGATTCACCAACAGATATTAGTGATGAGTGCCCTGCTATAAAATTATAAGGTGTAATTATCCTTAAAAAGAATTGTGAAGTATAAGCAAGATGCTTGAGGAAACAGCTGTTTTCTATACAGCAGTCTTGTGCAGGTGTATCTATAGGGATTTTCTATACAGCAGTCTTGTGCAGGTATATCTATAGGGATTTTCACTGATAAGGTTTGCCATTCATATTTGCCTCTGCCCTTAAAGTGACACATGAAATTTAATTGTTATGTTGTATTTAAAAGATATACTGGCATAAAGAAAAACTGTTTGAAGTCAGGGGCTTTACAACTTGTAACTATAAAGTTGAAATTCTTTTCATGTGAACTAGTTGGGATACCTAAATAATTGATAATTACAATAACCTGGTGAGCCTTTCCTTATTTCTACCATCAAAGAAATGGAAGGTATGTGAACTGTGGGTAAAAAAAGAAGTAGAATAGCATTCTTAATAAATAAGGATTCCATATAATAATGTTTATCTGTTATCTGTCATCTTTGTCTATTAAAATGGGATAATTGGCATTACATATGTATTAGGGATAACTAACTTCCTGTAATTTACTTTGGGAGAGTATGAATAAGACCCACAAGAATTGCCGTATTAATCTAGGAATTGAGTAAATCATTCATTATTAGTGTATGATTGTGAAGTAGAATTCTCAGTGTACTTAATGTTAATATCACTCAATACAGGAAAGTAAGAAATTTGGGCACATTGTAAGTTAGCCCTGGAGAGTAAATGACCTGTGTTGGCTGCAGCACTAAACAAGAATCCTTTTAGACATACCACATATAGACATACCACATACAGGCACTTGTCATCCCCATGTCAGCTGCCATAACTGTGTTTGTGCATTGAAGTCCATGAAACACGCTTCACAATCTTTAACAGATGTGTAGGTCTCTGGTTTACTGATCTGTTCTTAGCCATCTGGAGAAGATTCAGTGAATTTAAGTTAAACCTAGGACAGAGAAAGTTGATAAAGTTAATTAAAGTTAAATGTCTATTTTATAATATTACAAAGTTCATTTTCTACCCCAAAAGTTTCCACAAAATATTTTGATAGTTTGTTTAGCAGTTTTCTTTCTTCTGTATCTCAGAATGAGAAATGTCATTACAATTTTACAGCAAGGAGACAAAAAATGGAGGCACTAAGCTGGAAAACTTTCCCTACTGATTTTCACATGCTCAAAATTATTATGAGGATTAAGTGAGCCATTGTAATGTAAAATCTGCTATTTTCTTTAGCCATGACAGTTTAAACATTTGTGATTTCAAGAAACGGGCTTCACTTTAAATAATACTATGGGCATAATTAAATCTTTTTAGATTCATTGTAGTCTAGTGTCTATCTTAAAAAATATCACAGGAGCCTAAAATGAAATTGTAGCTACTCCTAATTTTCTGCCCTTAGTTTCTCTTTACTGCAGATACTTGAAGGGTCTTTACCTTGGAAGCTTCATAGTAGGAGGTGTAGCTCTCATGTCCTTCACAGATTTCTTTAAAGTACTACTAGACTTGATGTATTGTCAGCTGCATTCTACCATTAGCAAAACCCATTCGGGTACAGAATGCATAGGAGTCAAAGACAAGAATCAAAAGCTGGTTTCCAACAATGTTTATATATTCAGAATACAAAAAAAAAATTTCTACATCTCAGTAACATAAACAACATAAGTAAAAAGCCACAAGAAAAAAAACCCACTGTATAATAAGTATGAAGTATATTAACTAAACTTTATATATAATATATGTATATAGGTGGTACTAATTAAAGGTTCCTGGGTCAACATAAGGATAAGCAAGGAATTCCCCTAGTTTGTTGCCTTCAGAATCATAATGGAGCATTCTGAAACAGACATCACAAAAGAAACATGGATCCTCTGGTGCAAAGGTGTCGTTGTTTGTCACCCATCTGTAGTTTAAAAAAAAAAGTATATGTTATATTATAGCTGGGATTTTTTTTTATGCTTCAATAGTCTATGACTTATGGCCTATAACAGCAGTTCTCAACAGATTACATATCACATATTTACATTATAATTCATAATAGTAGGAAAATTAGTTACGAAGTATCAACAAAAATAAATTTTATGGTTGGGGGTCACCACATCGTGAGAAACTATTAAAGGATCATAGTTTTAGGACGGTTGTGAACCACTGCTCTGTAGCAATACATAAAAAACATTCTCACTACTGCTTCAACCAGCTATACCAACACACACCAGGGACATACACCAGGAAATGCGGCAGAACTGTTTTAAGATTGCCGCTTATGCAAACTATCAGCAGCACACACATATACGAGAACTCCTGTCCTTTAAGTAACTCATTTGTTTTCTAATAATCACCTTGGAAAATTAATAGATCTACATTTTACAGACCCCAGAAGACTTCCTTAAATTATGTAATCCGGGCCGGCTTTCAGCTTTCAGGGTGCTGGGATTATAGATATGTGCCCACATACGCAGATATTTATTTTAAAACAAGGCAAACGTACAAATAGTATAGAGCATGACATTTCTACACGAAGTGACCGTGTCTTCTAGTTACTCTACAATGTATCAAATAACTGGAGATGATAGGTTACCTTACTTTGCCATCAAAATAGAGAAACTTGAATTTGCATATGATCCCTGCACAGGGGCCATAATGGTCTATATCATTCTTATTTTAACAAAAATTGGTTAGTTTGGGGATGTAAGGATTTTAATCTAGGTTGAAGATGAAAATACTACAATTTGGTCTATACACAGTGTAGGGACAATGTTCACCTGAGATTATTCATGCTGTGTCACACATGAAATTTCTGTTTTTAAGTTTCTCTTAAACTTATCATTTTAGTTTAATTTTTTTCTGATGTTCTGAAAAATTTAAAACCAACCCCTGGATTTTCATTTTGGTAACTGATTTCTATTTTTCCTAGTGATCCTTTAGAAAAATACTTTGATAGGGAATCCAAAGCAAACTGAAGATACTAAATTTTCAACTATTTCCCTAAATAGGCCAAAATTTTTGGCTCTGATTAACAGTACGAATCATCTCATAGTTGACTTACACCTATAATCCCAGTACTCAAGAGACTCAGGCAGGAACATAAGAAATTCAAGGTCAAGTCCTCACGCTGTGTGGGCCCTGTCTTTATAACAAAACCAGAAAATAACCCCCACGGTGTAAACATGCTGGCCGCACTCAAGACTAGAGAGAGCTCTAGACGCTGCGTCACATTCCACCTTTTATTCCTATTCTGTGAGCAGGTGAGATCTTGTTAAATGCCCAGATCGATTGTTCAGAACATAAAACCTGAGTTGAAACGTAAACGACAGTCAAGAAGCAAAGAAAGCATGGCTCCTTGACGTTTGCTCTGAACTTCATGTATGCGCTCCCTCATTTTCAAACGATATGGGGTGTAGTCTAATGGTGTACACACGCTGATTAACAGGCAGCAGGCTCTGGGTTTCATCTTCCGAACAGAACAAACAAGCTCATTTTCACCAAACTGCATCAACACTGGAATACTGACTCTAGTAGATTAAAACTTTGAAACCCAAACTGAAAGCAGATATCTGAAGTACTAAAAGTGGAACCCAGTACTTTTTAAAGGAAAGAAAGCTGTCACTCACCTAGCTGTATACATCTTGCAAACAAAACATTTTCTGGTCCACAGCCAATGCTTCTTGGTAAGAAGGGGATAAAGTGTTCTATCCAAGCAGTCATCGTGATGCGCAAGCCTTTTACGAGGAAAGCAGATTACGTGAAACACAAATGCTATACCTGCTCCCCAACATTAGGAACATGGTTTGACCTATATTTTGTTCACAAAACATTTCAGTAAACTGATTTCTTGGATTAAACAGCTTGTACCTAATCTCATTACTAGGTATGTAACTTAGTTCTAGGTCTTGCCCAGCTTACTATAGGGCAAGACTATAGCCACCTGTGCTGAACACTTTGCCCAACATGCTTTCCAGAAATCAATTTCTCAGTTCCCTTTATGATAACATGCTGTGACAGTCTGCATGTAATGTTTTTTTATGTATTTCATCATAATCTAACACCACACTGTTATTTGTGGAACACAGTATAAGCAAGGCTGCCCAGTGATACCTTGCTTAGATTAACTGGCTCTTACTACATGACTTTCTCATTATGAAAAATAAAAGATTTGGATCCTTGAATGTCATGAATTATGATTTTAATGTTAAATGTCAGAACTACAAAATTTTAAGTGCCACTAACCAGCAGCATGGTGCTGGGTAAGTCATAAACCCTAAAGATCTATTAGTTGTAAAATTTACAAACTAGGTTTAATCTCAGCTCTGCTGGGTTCCTGACATGGATGGTTGTGGCCATCTTGTGAGTGCTGGAAGAGCAGCCTGTGCTCTTGACCACTGAGCAATCTTTTCAGTCCCAAGGACCAGGAGTTTAATGCTTAGCTTATACAGCAAGTGTGAGGCCAGCCTGGGCTAAGTGGAACAAAACAAAATGTATTTGTACATAAATAAAAGACCAGGTTTTAAATCTTTCAAAGGTTAGCAAAGAGTTATACTGTAAGTAGGTTTTAAAGGTCATATAAATATGAAATTATGAGATCTTACTTTTACATCCTTCCTCCCCAGGGAACTAGTTTTCTGTTTTTTTTTTTTTGTGTGTCTGAGGTAGATGTATATGGTAGTTGTGTGCATGTAGGTACCTGAAAAGGCCATGAGATACTCTGCACCACCACTCTCTGCCTTACTGCCCTGAAACAGGGCCTCTCAGTAGAGCTAGGCTGGCAGGCAGGCAGCCCCAGTGATCTTCTGTCATTGCCCGCCACAGCACTAGAGTTACAGGTGTACAAGGCCATTCCTGGCTTTTCATATTTGAACTGGTCTTATCCATCCAGCCATTTCTTCAGCACCTCAATTCTAAACTATTCATTTTTTTTTTGGAATTTACTCACCTTCCCACTATAGAATCACTATTTCAATTAAATTTAGATACTTAAAAAATATGGAATTTTAATCCTCCAATAAATACTTTTTAAAATAGGTTTTCTAATACATAGTTTTGATTTATAGACAGTTTCCTTTTATTAAATAGCTCTGGCTGACCTGGAATTCACAGAAATCTGTTTGCCTCTGCCTCCCAAGTACTGGGGTAATAGGCCACATCTACTAGATTTTCAGAAAAATTAACAGGGTGTGCAAGCTTCCCACTGCATGGAAAGCAGATGCTTACTGCTCCCAGGCCAAGCCACAGGGATAACTCTTTAATTCGCTGAATTTCTCTTAAAACGACTTATTTGTAAAGAGACAGAAAAGTAGTTAGTGAGCCATCTCAGTGGGTAAACATGCTTGCTTCTGAGCTTGATGACTTCAGTCCAATTCCCAGGGCCCCACGCACGGGGTAGGACAACAGACTTCCTGCTAGTTGTCTTGACCTTCACACTCTTGCTGAATAGCATGTGTCCTCCCCACCCCCAATTAATGGCACTTTTTAAGATAAAATATTCTCCAAGTGATGCACATACCTTATGTCTGTAATAACAACAACATGTTCACAGTCTCCCTGGTGACAGTATAAGTAAGGAAAGCCAAGTTTAATATTCAAGTCATTAAATGTGAAATCTTCCATTCTAGCGGTCTGAAATTTTCCATATCCTCGATCATGGGACTCTGACCATTCTATAATAGTTCTGTTTTGGGGGAAAGATAAGGATAAAGCATTATTACTAAAACTTGAACAGGAAAGAAAAGAGTATACCTGCAGTGTTTCATACAATCTGGCCTCCTTATTAAGTGGATCGTTGCCATCTAGAAGGGAAGATAATGGTGGCTTGTGAATTCTTGGATTAAAAGAACAGTGAATTTGGACCAGTAGGTAACAGCATTGGTCACCAAACCTGGGTTCAGTCCCCAGGATCCCCATTGGAAGGAGAAGATTAACTCCTATCAGTTTTCCTCTGCTCAAACTTGTGCCATAGCACAAGCATACACCTAAGCTCCAAGAGTGAGAAATGTTTAAGGGGAGTAGGGGTGTAGAGAGGATTAGACACTGAACTTTTTATCCGTCTGAGTAACAGCTCTTTTTTATTCTTGGGTTTTTGTTGTTTTGAGACAGAGTCTGGCTTTCCTGGAACTCACTTTGTAGACCAGGATGGCCTTAAAGTTAGAGTCACTTCTGCCCTTTTCATCTCAGTAAGGATCAGTTTTTTAGGATGCTGTTTTTAGGATATGTACCACTTGTAGAACAAACAAAAAATGTATAACAATGCCACATTTTGTCCTCACTTTATTTTTGGCAACAGGGTTTTTGGTTGTTTTTACATATTTAGCATATACTGAGATTAGAATGTTACTATTTCTTAGTTTCTAGTTCTAATTAAGGTGCTAGCTGGTGGTGGCAGCAGTGCACGAATTTAACCCTACTTAGCATTTGGGAAGCAGAGGCAGATGGATCTCTTGAGTTCGAGGCCAGCCTGGTCTGCAGAGCGAGTTCCAGGACAGCCAGAGTTACAAACAGAAACACTGTATAGTTAAGTGTGTTGGTTCGCATTTTTAATGTCAGCACTTAGGGAAGCAGAGGCAGGAGGATCATTAGGTCCAGGCCATCCAGGACTTTCTCAAAAGGACAAAAAAAAAAAAAAAAAAAAAAAAAAAAAAAAAAAAAA